CTGTGGAAAAATATGACATGAGATTTTGACTGAAAGGAGATTTTTTTTCTTAACAAATATCCCATTTTGCTATGGCATCCAACATAACATTAAATTTAACATTGCGATAGGTGAAAACGTCATAGGTTTCATATTGTCAGTAATGTAGTAGCAATATTAATAACACCCAAGCAAAAGACAAAAGGAACGTGTCCTATTTGTACATGCCATTTTCTATTAGCTCTCAGGCGTTGGAGGCACTGTATAGTTGGAAGGATTATTGAACTTCTCAGTTCAGCCACTTACATCTTGAAGTTGTGTCTCAGGATCTTGCCTGAAGGCTTCATCAATTGCCAGTAATGCAAAGCTTGTATCATATTGTTTAATTATTCATTTTTCTTCCTGTCCATGTTGTGCCAAGCAGATAGGAAAGGCTTTAGAAGAGAACTTAGTCAAAACATGCTGATCACTGGGAAGTGTCAGAAAACTGAACTAAAAACCTCCTTGAATAATGGTGGTTAGGCAGAACCCAAAGTGAAGATGCGCATCTTCAGTGCCCAGGGAAGATCTTTTTCTATTGATGTAAGGGATGAAGTGCCTTGTAAGACTGGCACTTTTTCAGGAAGAGAGCAGGAGAGCCCATCTTACAGCACAGGCGAAAAGCTGTCTAAACCCATCATGGTGCTAAAGTATAAAGCAGGTCTACCATTTGGCTGCAGGTGATTATTCATGGTGGAAGGGATCATTAGAATGTATTTTGTCAACATAAGCTATTATTGTGTGCTCTTTCTTCATGTCCATAAATCTCTCTGTGCTTCAGTAAGAAAAGCTGAAGGACCAGGAAGAAAGCCAGAGTTATGGATTATATGCAGAAGTGTAAAGTATGAAACCCCCCAGGAGGATTTGCTGTCATCATCTTCTCTATCCCAAAGCACGCTGGGGATCTTCTTTCTCCAAAGAAATGTTATTGATGATCTTTTCAGACCTGATCTTCTTCTCATAATTAGACAAGTTAGATATATGGGCACCAGAGTAGCTACTGCAGTTCCTGAGATGTTTAATTTCCATATTTTACATCAGGAATCTCTTATATAGTTTTTTTTGCCATTTCTGACAATACTATTTCCACGACAGCTAATACCATCACAGATTCAAGGGTGGATGGGTCCAACCTAAGAAATTATGTTCTGCAGTCAGACCTCTTCCTATGAGGTATTTGGCATCCAGCCTTTATACTTAGGTTTATCTCTAAGTACAGTTTTACTGCTAGGAAAGGAAAAGACTGCTAAAATGCACTAGAACAAGTTGGAGAAGAGTTAGTTAAATGCAAGTAAGCATCTTGCACCACAGATCCAGGGTCCAGGCTCAGGACTGGCAGCACTAGCAGCTTCCTAGCCAGACACTCACCATTGACCAGGGGTGACCGACTTACTGGCCTATCTCTATTGATAGGGGGAGAGATAGGCTGAGGGGCTGCCATGTGCCTTGGCTATCGTATGGGACAAGAAAGCAAATGCAAAAGGGGAAAAGTAAAGGGACCTGGGGGAGGCTGCTTCACTCTAAGGGGGGGCCTGTCCGGTTGTACACTATCTGGAGTGCTGAAAGGCTCATATTGTGTATGGCAGTGGCAACACAAGCTGAAAAGAAAGCACCTTTCCATTCCAGAGGAAAAGTAAATTTCACCAGCTATTCCAATCTGAAAATGAAAATTTTCCAGTCTCCCAGATATTATTTTTTTAAACAAAGGATTCTTTAATCTCTATGCCACTCTGGGAATGTGTTACGTGCGTTTTAGTGGCCTTTATTTTGCCAGGGCAGAATTCTAAATGAGAACTGAGGTCTTGGAGTTTGAGAAAAAGCTTCTATAAAAGGGCTATGGCCAAAGATGGGCTCCAGCTTTCTCTTGGAAGCTTCATTCATCTGGCTATCATGCTAAGGAAGATTCACAACTTCAGGTAGGTGTCTGTCACACAGCCCAGGAAGGGCAGCACACCCACAGGCAGAGCACAGCTTATTAGCCACATGCTTTAAATCTGTGCTTTACATTCAGTTCCACTTACCTGTCCCATCTTCCTGGCCATTAGATGCTCAACGGGGCTCTCCTGCATTCTTTATGTGACTAAACCCATTTCCATGACCTGGCTTTAGCAGGAGTCTAGGTACAGTTGTACTCAAGACCACTCATGGTCATCCAACCACTAGCTTGACAGATCTAGTGAAGAGGAAAGGTACGTGCTCCTGCCATAGCCATCCTATGCCTGTTGGACTTGGGTGCTAAGGACCTCAGCACGGTAGGTGCTACTGAATTTGGCTCACAAAAAAAGTTTTGCCAATGGTGTTTCAAATGTGGGACTTCTGCCTAACCTGTCTGCCAAGGATTTCAGGTTCCTGACCTGGGAGATGTTATTGGGTTGGGTTGAAATAACAAAGAAAATAGTTATGCTACTAGCTACTCCAAATCCAAAGCTTGCTATATTAGCTTAAGCTTTACACTCTGAGAATGAGCAGAAGCTTGCAAAAGTAATTGCCTACCAAAAAAAGCAAGAATTCTTGTGTGAAGCAATTGAACACTTTTCTCCCCAGATCACTGGAATGCCCAGTTATTTGGTTTTCATACTGCCACTCCTACCCTGACTATTCATTTCCCTTTTACTACCTGCTATCTTCCCTAACCCCTTTTCTCACATATTGCCACAGGTCTCTGTGTCTCTTTTACAGACCTCTCACAGACTCCAGGGCTCTCCAGCTGATGTTTATTCCCAGCTAGTTCCAGGCCGTGCACTCCTCTGACTTGTTCTCAGTATCCATGGGAACATCCTCATTGCTCCGCGGCTCAAAACAGGGATTCAGTGTCCACCTTCCCTTTAGAGATTCACTCCTCATCGTCTGCATGAGAGGGCTCTGCCTTCCTACATGATGCAGAGTTTGAGAACAGGCTTTTCTACATCAATTCTGTATTCTTGTGTCCATCTTCTAAGTTGAGAAACTCTTCCTTTGCCAGGATATGCACAGGCAAGAGCTTTCTTCCCTAAGCCTTTGGCTGGCAGAAGTAAAGCCATTGAAGGCAATTTCTCAGCTGCTGTGTGTACTCCCTGCCACCCCAGAGCTGGCCATGATCATTTGCATTTCTTCCTCCCCACCACAGCACCACATCCCCACAGTGGGGTGTTTGGGGAAATGTTCAAGGGCAAATACTGCTGCTTCTTCTGGGGAGACTGGAACAACCCTGTAGCCCCAGTAAGTGTTGTTCCCTAAGTCAAACCTGGGGAAAGACTTGGGATCATTTTCTTCTTTGTACACTCGGAAAGCTGGATGAAGCAGGGACATGCCTGAAGCTCCTGCCCACCGGGCAACTGCCACTCTTCAGTAACTCAGCGCACATACCAAGTCCTAGTCCTAGGAAGCTGATTAATCCTTCCTGAGGACCTATGCCTGCCTCTGGGGTAGTTTCTGCATGGCAAATCCAGCAGAATGGAGCCACTCAAGCTTTCCAAGATTTTCATTCACTTGCTGTTTCTCAGCAGGCGTGCACCATTTGCTTCACCCCCATTGACATTAGGGAGGTCCATAAATCAACTGCACAGTGATAGCGCAGCCCTCCCAATGCTCATTATGCATCTTGTTGCTGGAGGAAAGCACCAACTTTGGTGCCAAGTACATTAGGGAACATGCCTGGGTTTAAAAATTCTCCATGGGAGGGAATCACAACATTTCCAAAGCTTGGCCTCTTGCATCACAAAAGCAGAGCATGCTCCTCACCATGTCTCTGGCGATAACAAAAGTCCAAGGCCAAAACCCAAAATGAACAGCTTTAAAAGAACAAAGCTGTCACTGGATCTTGTACACAGTGTTTGTTGCCACAACCTGTCCCAGAGTCACCATCTCGGATTTCCCTGCCAAAATGATGGAAATATAAATAGGGGCTATAAACCCAAAGTATTTCCAGATCATACATCCAAAGGATAGAAATTATAGTCTCTTAGTAAGGAAAATGTTCGCGGGTAGTGAGGTAATGGGACCTGGTTACAGAGCTCATTTCTGTGAAAAACTTTAATACAGTATGGAAATTTTTCCAATGTCCTTGATGCAACCTCCATTAAAGTATAAAATAATCCCCTGTTTCAGTGGAAAAGCCCCCTCCATGCCTTCAAGAACAAACTGCTGAGCTCCATTTTGGGAACAGTTTCTTTTCCAGCTGCTGTTCCCAGAGATTCCTGAATGGCTCCAAAGACACAGCATCAGCAAGGAAAGAAATCTGGCTGTTTGAAAGACAACCCATCGCCTGTTGGCTTAGCTAGAAAAGGACCTTGCTTTTCTGTGCGTTTGCTGCTGTGGAACCATAGGAGTCCCAGCTCTAGTCTCACTAAATAATATTCTGGAAGTCCATGCCATGAGTCACAGCACTGGATGAGGGTCTCTGCTCATTTGATTAATTACATTACCATGCCTGCCCTTTACTTGTTGACTCACAGCAGTAAGAGCCTGGGATGTGCTGCGTATGTAGTAAACTGACTAAAGGGGTAATGTGTGTCAATGTATGGATGTGTACAATAGCTTTTTGAAATCCCTTATGATCTTCCCACCCACTGGGCATTGCTTCAATATCCAGTTCAATCATCAGGAAACAAACTTGCTCCCTCATCTGCGTCGCACATTGCAATGAGCTTGCCAAATATGGCCAAGCTTTTAGAAAGAAAAGAGAATCCCCCCACCAGTGAATTTATGACCCTTGGCTCCGCTTGTGCCTTGTTCCTGTGCATGCCTGAGTGACATGGAAACTGCAGCAAATCTGTTTGGCTTGTTTCTGTGCTCTCACACTTGGAGCTATGTTGGATTTTTCCCCTTTTAGATTACTAGATTTTTTTGTTTGGTTTGTTACCTCCAAATGCAAGCAAGAACAGCCCAAAAGAGAGCAACATGTGTTAATGAAAAGAAAGGAAAGGATGGAAAAGGAACAAGGGGAGGCTGGAAGTGTTGCTAAGCATTTGAAAACAAAATGTCATCCCCCTTGTCTCTTGCAGATCTTTCAAGCCGGACTTTGTCCTGATTCGGCAGCATGCCTATAGCATGGCACTGGGAGAGGACTTCCGCAGCCTCATTATTGGCCTCCAGTATGGTGGCATCCACACGGTCAACTCCCTCTACTCCATCTACAACTTCTGCAGCAAGCCCTGGGTGGTAAGTGCCAAGCCACCTCTATTGCATGCCAACACTGCAAAGTCGATCTGGTGCCAATAAAGCACTAAACTCAGCTTCCAGTCATGGGAATTCATCTCTTTAGGTTAAAAACACCATCTAAATACCTTAGGAATCCTGCTGGGAATTCTCTGGGGGGAAACTAGCAACACTGCTCCTTCACCAACCCTGTAGCATTATGTCAAGGTGTTCTTTCCTCACCCTGAGTAAGATGCTTCACCTGTCCCAAACTCTAATGTGTCACAAACAGCTGACAATACAGCAAGACTTAGTTTTCTTGTAAGGCAGAGTAAGTGAGTAGTAATAGATTGATAATATCAGCTCAATAGCAGCACGTCTCTGTCCTGACCAAAACACAACAATTATACCTTAAAATAAACATTAACATTCACTTTTTTACAAGGTATCTGAATTATGCTATTTCTAGCATCCTTTATTAGATGCACACTTGTGGTAACCAGGTGCCCCAGCCTAAGATTATCCATTCCTTGCAAAAGTGAAAACTGCACTTGTCTTCTCTTCCTACTTTTTCTGGCTATTGCTTTGGTGTGAGGTAATTATACTAAAAGAAAGGCAAGAAATGTAGAAATGATTTCTTCAGCCACTAGGTCTAGGAAGAAAAAGGGAATTTAGAATGACAGAGATATGGGAAAGAGGCAGAAGGAAAGCTGAAAGAGTGTCGTATTGGGTTTGTGTGGCAAGGTTTTGGTAGCCAAGGGGCTGCGAGGGTGACTTCTATGAGAAGCTGCCAGAAGCTTCCCTCATGTCAGATGGAGCCAATGCCAACTGTCTCAATGCTGGCTGAGCCCATCAGCAATGGTGGCAGCACCTCTGGGATAACGTATTTAAAAAGGGGGGAAAACTGCTATGGAACAGTCAGAAAGGAGAAACTAAAATACGTGAAACAGCTCTGCAGGCCCCAGGGTTGGTGAAGATGGAGGGAAGGAGGTGCTCCAGGCACTGCAGTGAGTCCAGAGAAAGGCAACAGAGCTGGTGAAGGGTCTGGAGCACAAGTGTGAAGAGGAACAGATGAGGGAACTGGAGGGGGTTTAGTCTGGAGAACATAAAGCTCTGGGGGACCTTATCACTCTCCTCAGCTACCTGAAAGGAGGATGGAGGGAGGTGGGGTTGGTCTCTTCTCCCAGGTAACAAGTGACAGGACAAGAGGAAATGGCCTCAAGCTGCACCAGGTGAGCTTTAGATTGGACATTAGGAACAATTTCTTCACCAAGAGGGTGCTCAGGCAATGGAACAGGCTGCCCAGGGCAGTGGTGGAGTCACCGTCCCTGGAAGTGTTCACAACCCATGTAGAGGAGGCCCTCAGTGACATGGGTTAGTGGTGGCCTTGGAAGTCCTGTGGAAACAGTTGGACTTGGTGATCTTAAAGGTCTTTTCCAACTGAGTTGATTTTGTGATTCTATGACCCTGGTGACCAGACAAAGAGCTTCCGCCTTTACATTGGCTTTTGCTGAGGAAGACAGCCATGTGGTTTATCCTATGTGATTTTGGGGTTGAGTCAGTCAGGATTTAGTTGGCATTTTTCAACTCATGCCTTGTAATTACGTTTCTGATGGTGTACAGGGGACTCAAGATGTGACAGGCCTATTTTTAGGAGTCTAACATAAAAGAAAACAAACAAACTCAGCACATTGGGTTCAAAAAAAAAGAAAGAAAAGAAAAGAAAAAGCAGGGCTGGCAAGGTAGTGTGGGAGAAACTGGCTCTGCCAGTAACTTGGCTGTAGCTATTCTGGGTGCAGCTGTGCCATGCTTTCCTCATGGGGAATACAGATGGCTCGGACAACCTTCCCAGAGGAGTCAGGGAAACCACTTGTAAACACTTAAAATACGTTTGCAAAATGCCTCCTTTCCCTACTGCCCCTGCACACACATCTCCCCCAAACATGACTGTAGTGCACAGGGTAATCTAAGAGCTCAGATGGGACCTGAGCTGGTATTCAGCACCCTGGACATTTTATGAGGCTGAAGCTCAGGTACAGATTGTGATGGAGCATTTGAGGGCAGAAAGCTTCAGTGGCAGCAGAATGAGAAAACTGATTTTTCTCTATCTATCTCATTTAGAGATAGGAACAGAGTACTCCGGTGCATGTTCCACTCTGATTGCAAAACAGGCATCTCGAAATAAGGGATCTGCTTAACACAGATTACTGGAAACTCTCTGGACCTAGCAAACAGTTGAGATACATGAAGAAATGAAACTAAATACTCCTGGGAAATGTGCTTTTCACTCTCCCTTTTTATTCTTTCCAAAAGTGGTTCCATTTCATAGAAATGTTTATGATTTTCTGGAGGGTGGATGGAAGTGAGACTGTTTTTCCTTGGCAATTTGCAATGATGTTTTTTTATTTTCAGCAAGTCTAATTACAATCAGCTGAGTTTGGGGTTTGAGTTTATGCAAACATGCAGCCCCATTTCTTAATGACATTTGCCAGGTTTCCAGTACCGAAATACACAAATTTCTTCAAAGGCTAAAATTTGCATTAAATGCGGGCACAGTTTGCAATAGGCATTTCTGAAATAAGAAAAGCATTCAGGGGGTCTCACACACACAGAAACATCTAACTTTTAAGATGATTTTAGAATTATTGTGAAAGGAAGTTACAAGCACACTAAAGGCAACGCCTCAACCACTAATTGTAATTTCTGTGTTAGAAAAGTTGCGATACCAACAGTGCTCAAAGTAGAACTCGTATTGCATGCAGTTAATATTCGTAATTGCCAGGCATGTTTTGCATCTGTAAGACCGCAGGAAACATGAAGTCTTGACAGAGTCCAAGAGATTCCCAGCTAAACTTACTGTCAAGGGATATAAGCTACGGGATGACCTAGGCACTTTCAAAATATGCACAGGCCTTGAGAACAAAGAATCATAGGATAGTTAGGGTTGGAAAGGACCTTAAGATCATCCAGTTCCAACCCCCTTTCATGGGCAGGAACTCCTCAATTAAACCAAGTCAAAGGCTCCGTCCCACCTGGCCTTGAACACCACCAGGGGGGAATCATTCAATACTTCTCTGGGCAATCCATTCCAGTGCCTCACAAACCTCACAGTAAAGAACGTCTTCCTTACATCTAACCTAAACTTCCCCTGTTTAAGTTTGAACCCATTACCCCTTGTCCTATCACTACAGTCCCTAATGAAGACTCCCTCTCCAGCATCCCTATAGTCCCCCTTCAGATACTGGAAAGCTGCTATGAGGTCTCCACGCAGCCTTCTCTTCTCCAGGCTGAACAGCCCCAACTTTCTCATCCTATCTTCATACAGGAGGTGCTCCAGTCCCCTCATCATCCTCATGGCCTCCTCTAGATTTGCTCCAACAGCTCCATATCCTTCTTATGTTAAGAACACCAGAACTGCACACAGTACTCCAGATGGGGTCTCACAAGAGCAAAGTAGATCCTCCAAATGGACCTTCTTATTTCTCTATAAAGACTCCCCTTAAGTAACCCTGGTGTCCAAACAGCCAGGCAAGGTGTTTCACTTCTGTACCTGTTCTGGTTACTTTAGACTGTCCCACATTGCCTTGCCCCATGTCTCTCTCTGCAGTCTGGCCACAATCTCACTAAAATAAGTGAAACCTCAGCAAGTAAGAACTGATACCAAAATGTGGAAGAGGCAGTTACATCTCGCTGAGCTGCTGATAGTAACATTCCAATCCACCTAAAATGCACTGGGAGGTGCTACTTGAGCCCTGCTATCAGGTATCTAAGAGGCTGCTGCACCATGTAACATGGGTATCTTTTTGCCAAAATCCTGTCCCTAACAACTGGCAGAAAAAAGATAGCAAAAAGGAGGAATTTTCCCATGAGGGTCAATACCAAGGTCAGACCTTTTCGCACACTTGGCCGATGGAGGAGGCTTCCAGATGGCTGAGCCTCTCATCTGTCCCTACAAAACTTGCTATTTCAGCAACAGCCAAGAGCTGTATGCTTCAAAAGGAACCCAAAGGAACAAGCCAGGACGCTCTCTGTCAGCTGCACAGTTGTTCCAGTTATTTTGTCAGAGCTGTTTTCCTAGGATAAATGTATGTCCATGGTTCACCAGCGCTGCGTTCACAGGCACCAAGGGGCATGTGCTGCTCACAGCCAGGGTGTTTTTCCTCCTCTCCCTGTCTCTGCCTCATTCTGTTTAATTTTTAAGCCGTGTTTGCTCACCTTCCTAGTCAAAACAGGCCTTTATTTTTCTTCTCTAGGATGTGCAGATCTAGTGCAAGTAGTTAAGAGAAGCAAGCTGTCCTCCCTCCCCAACATCAATACCCTCTTTGCCAACAATAATCATTCTACATGGGGAGTTTTTCACTTATCTGCTGATGTGGGGTGGGAGGGGTGTCAGTGATGGGATATGCCACCTCATGATGTTTTCTGGGTTTTTTTAAATGCCACGTTTTAACCTATGAGATTAGGGAAGGAATTCTTCACATTTGTTTGCAAATCTGCTGGCAGCTGCCCCTTCAGCTCTGGCACACACCTTGCAGCCTCAGCTTTCGCACACTAGCTGCATCTTGTTTTTCACACCCATACCACCCTTTAACTCTCAAAGGGGTATTTCTTCACCACCACCAAGTGAGGTTTCAACTTCTTATATAGAAATGCTTTTGCTTAACTGGCCCATTGACCACGACAGGAACCCTTAAGGTAGCAACTCAGCAGAAAACGTTTTCATAACTCTCTCTTTATCCGCAGTGTAACCTTGGGGGTACATATACTGGCTTCAGCCATTGCTCGGAAGTGCTCAGAATATGTAAGATGAGGCAGCTGATGCTACTGGGAGGAAAAGAAGGCTTTCTTGCCTTTCCCTTTTTCCCTTGTCTCCTTCCCTTAATTTGTGTGTTACCTTCCTCAGGGGACACAAAGGTTTCCTTCAAGACAAATGCATCCCTTTGATGAGAAACTTGAAGGAACCTGTGCAACAGTGACTCTTGGCCCAGACTGGAGACTTTTATTAATTTAACTTGATTTTATCAAATTCTGGGGTGCCTTTGAAACTAAATTCAGTTTGTGAGTTACTTTGTAAATAGGACATCAGTGGGGAATAGTCACATCTACCAGCACAAGCAGGGACCAAAATCCTTATTCATGGAGCAATCCTCAGTCATTTTATTTTCTTAATATCCATGACAATAATCAAACTACTTTATTCAGCTTTGGGGTGTTGCAACTAGATGATCTTAAGGTCCTTTCCAATCCTATCTATACTATGATTCTATGATTCTCCCTTCTGCAAGGCTGCCAGTCTAACTGCTTCACCAGCAGCACTGCCAGTTCAGCATTGTCCAAGGTAATGGGGCTGTACCTCTTCAGAGAGAAAGTAGGATGGTTAGATGTGTGACTGTAAAGAATCTAAGTTGCTCCTGTGATCCAAACGGTTTCTGGGATATATTACCTCTTAAATGAACCCTGCTTCAGCAGCATTTTATGTCATGGTTGTTAAGTTCCTTTCATAGATTTCTGGGGTTTTCTCCAGCTGATCAATGATAGATTAAACAGGGAGGCTGAATACAATGTACAGAATAGTCTGCTCACTTCACAGATGGCTGACGTTGAGCAAGAATTTGTTGTGCGGCACTTCTGCTGGAGTTTTGGAACCTGAAAAGAAATCAAAACTCAGTCCTGCCATGGGGAGTTTTGTGTCTGGCTGGGAAAAACCCTGAATGATAAACAGTTTGTAATAGTAATGATAATGGTGACGTTCAAGCTGACAGGTGGGGACAACAGCAAATGTTCACCTTTTACATGAAATACCAGCACTGTTTCTTTCCCCCTCGATGTTACGTACTGCTTTCTCTATAAATCACCCTCACAGACTGGTACCTCCCTCAGACCTCACTGGGTCAAGGCTAGCAGATGATGACCTCTTTCTCCTGCCATGCACTGGGGGCTGTTGGGAGGGCCCTTGGTTCATAATAAATGCCAATTATGATTGACAGTGGGCTCAGACTTCCTTGGTTTAATAGCCAATCCAGGTAGCACTGTCAATTCCCTCTAGACATCTCTGCACCTTAGCAATTCTCCTTCCCCTCAGCACAATGGAGAAATATGCCTTGCTTTGATTTGGTTGTGGGGCAGAGATCCAGAGAAGAGCTTTGATTTATTTTGCCTGTGCTCATGAGCGGTGGCACTGATTTCCTGCCTGGTCACTTCCCTGAGCCCTTTCCTCTACCAAGAAGGGCCCCCACTCTCTCCTCAGCCACACTTGGAAAGCACAGCTTGTTCATACCAGATCTGTAACTAAATCCAAGCTGATACTTTCTGGCTCTTGAACCCCTTCTTTGCTCTCTCAGTCCAAGGTTTGTGTACGCAGGCTGGCTTGGCCCGGGGTAAATACAGCCACTTTATATTTTCTCAGGCCAAGAAAGCAAGGTGGGAAAGGCACAACAACATATTTCGCTCACTTTCAACTCCCCCACAGTATCAGAACATTTTGCAAGCACTTATTACACAGTAAGTCACTGACACCCACTGTGTCTGTTTTTTGTTCCTCCTCCCTCACCCCAAGTTCTCCCAGCTCATCAAAATCTTCAACTCGCTGGGGCCTGAGAAGTTTCCCCTTGTGGACCAAACGTTCTTCCCAAGCCATAAGCAGATGGTGAGTACCTTTGCTTTCTCCTGCTGCCAGCATAGATTGGGGAGAAGCAACAAATACGAGCTGGGCATGAGAGGTGGCCGTGGGAATGCTGGGAAGAGTCTCAATATTACTTACAGGGAATTACTAGCTAAAAAGCAATATGCAAAAATCACTGCTGTGGAACCTCTTTCCTTTCTTGCCCAGCCCTCCCCAGGTCATGCATGAACCTTGAAAAAGTGAAAAATGAGAACAGGCTTGAAGCCAAAGCAAAAATTGCTCGTAAAATCTAGTCAACAAAAGCTCATCCCTTAGAACAAGAAATCACTTCATTCAGACAAAGTGGACTTTTTCTCCTCCTGGAATTGTCTAAAACATGTTGACAGTTCAGGACACGGGCCATATGAGGTGTTTCTTTCACAATGTCAGTTTGCTTGGTCTACCTGTCACATGGTTGCCATCCATGAAACATTTACCGGCCTGACTAGGGACTCAAAGTAAATGGGAGCTCTTAAAAATGTTTGTTTCAGCTTGCAATACCTTTGCACAGTGGCTCTGGGGTCTATTCTTCTTGTCAACATCTAAACACTTAGTGCCCTGTGTGCCTGCTGGGCACTGTACCAAACCCCTGCAAAGAGATCTGCTTAGGTGCCTTTAGTCCTGGGCAACGTGGCAAAGCGAGTGGCTTTGTTTAAAACTGTTCCTGCCTCTTGTTTTCCCTGCGTTAAAAGGATGACTAACTAATCTGTCATGAATTTTCACTCCCAACTTGGGAAAAATCCCACTGGTGCTCCCTATGTACCTGAATACCTTGAAGTAACAGTCCATCTCCCTGCTCCAATACTGTTCTCTACCAATGCTGTGTGGACAGCAGTGCTTCCGTATTTCACAGGCACATCATGAAGGTAAGTGAAGTCATGCACATACATGGCAACTAAGGCAGTGGTATGAGCTGTGTTACTCAAGATATGGATGGTCCTTCAACACTATGTGACAGCTGCAAACATTTAAGAAAAAAATTGTTGATAAATCCTGTTGCATATAATTCCTGCTGATTTATGAAGAGGGGTTTGTGGCATGTGATGCTTCAGGACAGTTAGGATTTTGTGTGACCATTACTTTGGGAGTGGTAATTTTGAAAGAGTTGATTAAGGTTTTTGTTGCAAATATACTACCCACCACTTCTAGCATCATTTTCTTGTCTGGGAATACTGTTCTTTATTCCTTGGCATGTAAACACATTTGTTACCAGCCTAGTAGTTTGGTTTATCAGAGTATTAATCTTAACTTCATATATTATCTTTGTAACTGATCACCTACCTGCATATGCTATTGGTTACTTCCAGAAGAATACAGGAGTGTTTTGAAACCGTAGATAATCTCATCTGAACGCAAACACTACCATGGACAAGCAAGTTTGAGTAATCCTGTTTAAATCAATCACTTCCCAAACATTTACACAAGCAACAATCCACTTGAGCGTATTCAGGCCAGCCCTTTCCAGGTTGGGGGTGTTTACCTTACAGAACAAATCTACACAGCTTCTTCTAGATCTTATCTGGGGGCACCTTCACAGCATCTCGGGCTGTGAGAGGCTGAGAGGGCGAATGTTTACACCAAGTAAACTCTGCTGCAGTCATCCTCCACCAAGCACCTCTGAAAGTTGCTTGCTTGCTGCTCATCAGCTTATCCATGTCTCAAATAGGAATATAATGATCCTTCTTTCCCACTCTTTTTTCTTCCCTTTCCTGGAAGCATTTTTAAGCTGTAGCAGTTAGCACTCATAAAATACACTGCGGTCCTTTGATAGCTGACCCCCTGGAAGTGTTTATAACTAGTGTTATGGTTTTACCTCTTTGCAATGTGATAAACTTTAAGCAGTTGAGGTCTCACATGAGACATCCTCATCTTTCTATGCTCAAAACTTTCCAAATCTTACTTTCTAAACCTTTAAACATAGAACAGATCAAAAATCTGTTTCATTCTTTCATCCATGTAGAGATTTTCCTATAGTAAAAGTGAGATAAAGGAAATTTCTAAGAGTAGGGCCCTTTCTGTAAGTATTTTAATTTAGTTGAAAACTTTTTTTCTGAAACTTCCAACTCAAGACAACGGCGCATTTTTAACCAGCCTTAAAACAGCAAGCCTAAAAAGAGCACACAAGGCTTTGACATTCCACAGCAGAAAAGATCTGAAAGATGAATCTTTCTTTCCTTTGCCACAGGCACACACCATTTAACCTCCCTCCCCCGCCGCCCCCCCCCCCCCCCCCGAGTGATCTGTTTACTGGAATTAACAGCAATCTGGCAACTGTTCTTCCAAGGCCCTACTGGTGCTACATGACAGCCATAATGACTGCCTTGCTCTGTAGTGACCCCCTATGGCCAGTTAACAAGTGGGATACATTAACTTCAAACGGGGTATTTCACCTCTCCTGGGCTTATGACCCCAATAACAATTCTTAAATCAAGCTCTTAAAAAGAGGGAGGGACCACTGGAAGGATCTTCACCAAAGTGCAAGAGTTGCCAGAGGTGGAATATCTGTTCTGGGTCCAATAAAACGGTATCACAGAAGGGAAGGAAAAGAACAAATCCACTTGCAAATCCACTTGTGTACACTTGAAGTGGACAGAAACCAACGTAAGTGAAGCAGAGACAGAATGTCTGTGATAGAAATAAAACCACTTTACTGTTTAGAATAAAAGGACACTATAAAAAGTGAACATTATGCAACATTACCTTAAAAGACAATATACATTCACTGAATATAAAATTTATAAATAACATGGAGGAAAACTGTAAACAGTGCTAGAAAATTTAGCAACAAATACATTCCTTCTGGACAAGATTTTTCACACGGGTTTGGTTCCCTCCCCAAGTTTCCATGACTATCAGGAACAGCAGAGCAGCTCTATGAAGGAAGGACAGTGACAGAGAGAAGGAAAAGCCAGTACAGGCAAAGCAGCAGCAAATGTTTAGTGGATTGCAAAGACTGTTCTCGAGACCGGTAGCCCCAAAAGCCACTTATTCTAAAAAAGAGTTTTGCAGTTCCCTAAATTTTGTTCTGCCCTTCTAAGCTATAAAATACATAGCAAGTGAGAGATACTTTCAGAGACATCTGAAAGAACAGAAACTTGTTCCCATGGAGGCCTTTACTTCTAACAGTCTTTACTGTAAAAAACACAACAGCGTGCTGCCCTTCAATGTGAGGTAGCATTTCACTTCGGCCAAGTATAAATGGGATACAGCCACACAGATTTAGATTTTAAACTAGCTCTGCCTGAAGGGCCACATAACTCTTCAAAACGTGGGAAAGTTAGACGAAAATGGCAATTCTGTCCTATGCAGGGGAGGCAGAAGCCTCCCACAGGAGAACTGTATTCACAGTACTCCACACACAAGTCTCCCTTTGCTCCCCACCCCCTCCATTTTGGAAAAGGCAAATCAAATCCAATATTTCCCAAACAGTCAATATATTTTTTTCATCGTTTTTTTGTAATTCTAAAGGGAAAAACACTCCAAAGGAAATATCTGTAAATCAGAAAGCCAACAGCAACAGTCTAGAAATGAGCTATGCATTTTAAGAAGTACTTTTAATAATGTTGGTATATCTAAAGCATGGAGGGGGGAAGCCCTAATTCTGTATGTGTCCAAAGGTCATGCTCGCATGAGCTGTGCCACTGAGTCTGACCTCAGGCTATGGGGTGAAGTGAGGAGCACGTCAGAGGTGACAGGAAGATACCTGTGCTGCTGCAAAGCATTGTATGCCCCACAGCCTAACAGTCTGGGGAGAACTTCACACCTACCTCCTCACATCACCATGCCTCGCGTTCCCACATAGTGCATGGCTCACTGTAAGGAGGAATAGTTTTGTCCATTGGCAGGCAGAAGTGACTTTGCAAGACATAAGAAAGGAAAGCAGATAGAAAGGAAGAAGTCTTTGAGTCTGATTTAGAGCCTCCTCAATCCATTTAAAGGCCCCATCCCATTTCAAGGGAGCCTTCATTCAGATTCTTAACACAAGCACAATCTAAAGCTTAGCCCAAGAAACCCATGTCCTGATAGCATGCACAGAAACAAAATCAAGAAGCCTCCCAAAAGAAATGTATTTTTACTGGATTCTTCCCCCTCCTTTTGGCTCCACATTTTTAAAAGCCTTAACAACTGTTTCTTTACACAGCAAGGGGAAAGATTTGCTACCAAATCCCTACCCCTGCTGTTCTAGCCGTCTGCATCTCAGAAATAGTTTACCGTCTGCAATATAAAATGGGAATACACTTCATTTTCTGGTAACTCATCTGCTGGTTTGTTGTTTACAAAGCACATAGCTATATTATATCCTACTTAGGGACACATGTCCTCTTAGTACTAGAATGCAAATATTTTCACAATAATTTGAGTGCAATATTGTGATGTCTCAGCTAGCTAAATGGATCAGTGACAGGTAAAATATGCAGAGCTGCAGTACAATGAAAATTCAAACCAACACTTCACTGCATCGAGGGGCATTTTCATTTAGCCTTCCAAAGCCATAAAAGGTGGCTGCAGCTCGAAGAGACGGCAGCTTTGCGATGACGTCTTGAGCCTGAGGATGGCCATCTCCAGCGATGCCGACTCCACACGATGCGAACAGTGAGGGTGACTCCACTCCGTCCTCAGTGACTCTCAGAGATTTTTGTCAGCTGTGCACAGCTTGAACAGAAATTGTTCCATTATGCCCAAAGCCCAGGCTTGTACTCTGCCAAAAGAGGCAACATTCTGACCCACAACCTGATCCTATGCATCTTAGGAGTAGTCACTGGGAAGAGGACTTCTGAAAAGTGTTCCAAGCCTGAATCACAGGAAAATCCATCAGACTTTCAACATGTATGGTGCTGTGTTGCCACTAAGCAGCTTGAAACAGAAAACACACAGCAGATCTAGGCACCTCTTACATCAGCTCCTTGAAAATGCCCTTTAAAGTACATGTCAAACATGAAGCTACATGCTTTTTCCTGCAATAACCATCTAGTAAATGGGGCATT